AGTGAGATTGGTCCAGGTCATTCATGAGATTCCACCAAGGCACCTTCCTTCTTCCTTTCCTTGAAAGTTAGGGACTCAGGGGCATCTTCTCATAGAGAATAAAATAAGTAGAAGAAAATTCAAATGTAGATTTGTTCTACATTATGCCCAAATATTTGCAATCTAAGAAATACTTATAAAATTGACTTACTTTAAAAACCTGTGCATTAATCTCATATCAAACAAACCCTTAAAACCCTCCTGTCTCTAGGTTCTCAGCTCCAGAATGCATATTTTAGTATCAGGTTAACCTGTTTTACATGATTTAAACAAACAAACAAACAAAACTGTGATGGATGTAAAAGTATTTTTAAAATCTAAAGTACTAACTGGAGCTCAGATAGAACAGTAGTTAAGCTCTTGACTGCTAACTGAAAGGTCAGCAGCTCATACCCACCAGCCTCTCCATGGAGAAGGATGCAGCAGTCTGCTCCCACAAACGTTACAGCCTTGGAACACTGTTTGTTCCACTCTGTCCTACGCAGTTGCTATGAGTGGGAAGCTACTTGATGGCAGGGAGTTTAAAGTACTCTCTACATATAGGGTTGCATTATTATTAGTGCTGATCTCATTAAGTCGGAAGCACTTGCAGTTGGGCCAGCCATAGTAGAAGAGTTAGGCTAAAAGAAAGCATCTTCTGAAGACTATCACCCCAGTTCTTGACTTTACCCTTGGGGTCATAAGCCATATGTGGTGATTTTGTACTCTTGAGTTTCTTTCTCCAGTGTTTATGTATAAGAAGTCAAGTTAGTTATTCCTATAGTTAACTATTCCTTTGGAAATTTTGGGTTTGGATGCGGGAAAATTACCTTAACCCAGAAGTCTACAAAGTGTTAAGGAACAAAGATATTAGTTTGAGAACTAAGGTGTGCCTGACCCAAGCCATGGTATTTTCAATAGCCTCATATGCATGCGGAAGTTGGACAATGAATAAGGAAGACCATAGAAGGAAGAATTATTGCATTTGAGTTATGGTTTTGGAGGAGACTATTAAAAGTACCATGGACCGCCAGAAGAGCAAGCATATCTGTCTTGGAAGAAGTACACCCAGAAAGCTCCTTAGAAGCCAGGATGGCAAGACTTCATCTTTCTTACTTCATACATGTTATCAGGGGGAACCAGTCCCTGAAGAAGGATCTCATGCTTGACCCTTCTCCAATGGAGAAGGAAAAATGAAGGATCAATGAAAAAGAGGAAGACCCCAACAAGATGGATTGGCCTAGTGGCAGCAACATGGACTCAGGCCTAACAATAATTGTGAGGACGGTGTAGGACTATTGTGTTAGGCATAGGGTTACTATGTGTTGGAACCAACTCAACAGCACCTAACAGCAACAATAACGTATACTAAAGAAATGTGAAGAGCTCCATCACCCGATTCTACCACTTTATCTAAGGTCCCTAGATTGCAAACAGTGTGTGCTCACCTATTAAACTAGACTTCAGTGGCTCAAATCCACCCAGTGGTATCATGAAAGAAAATCCTGGTGATCTGCTTACATTATCCCCATGATTATCACCTAGAAAACCCCATGGAGCAGTTCTACTCTGTAGTACATGGGGTTGCCATGAGTTGGAATCAGCTTGAATATAATGGGCTTACCATTAATCTAGAGAAAGTCATCCCAGAGTTCTACTTTCACGTCATCACAGTCTAAAATGCCCTGGCCCTGTGCTCTGTGCTCCTTCACTGCCTGACTTATCAACAGAAATCGGGCATGACGTGTGGGGAGTGTGAAGAGTCCCCAGAGGAGTCTCAGTACTGAGTGCCTAAGTACTGAGTCCAAAGGGGCTAAGAATAATCAACAGGGAAGAGGCTGCAGCAATGCTGCTCCTTGTCCCAGCATGCCTTGTTGGCAGTCTGTGGATACTGCTCTGAAAGCTTGAGTCAGAAACATGATGCTGTAGTGTACTGAGGACCTGGGGCAGGGAGCATGGGCTGACTCAAGATACACTGTACTCTTGGGGTGCACCATTGCCTACCACAACCATAGTTCACCTCCTAGGCCAGTGTTCTCCTCTGTGATATTCTATCCTCTGTTGTTGTTTATTGATGAAAACTATACTACAGTGCAGTAGTCCTGGTGTGGTGCTGTGGGTTAATGCACTGGACTGCAAAGTTGGTTTGAGCTGCAAGGTTGGCAATTCAAGCTCACCAGCCATTCCTAGAAAACCCTATACAGGGTCGCTATGGGTCAGAAATGACTCGACAGCACTTAACAGCAAAAACAACAACAACAACATACTATATTGAGAGTCCTGATGTGGTGCTGTGGGGTAATGTGCTGGCTGCAAAGCCGGTTTAAACCACAAGGTTGCCAGTTCAAGCTCACCAGATGCTCCTCGGAAATCCTATACAGAGTCACTATGAGTCAGAACCAACTCAACGGCACTTAACAACAAAAACAACATACTATATTGAGGAAAATATAACTAATGTTTGTTTGCTTGTTAGAAGAACATGTCCCTTGAGGCAATTTTGAAGTTATTAGAGCTACCAATAACAGATTTGAGCTAAGATAACAGTTCAAAGTATCTTGGCACATGCCTGTCAATAGTAGAACTAACTGAAGTATGTAATAAAAGTTCACGCATTAACTCTTATCTGTGATCAAGCGTGTTGGATAACTACTTTTGCAAGAATGTCTATTAAGCCTGCTTAGGATTGAATGCACTAATCAGTCCATGAGGGGTAGCTCATCAGTAGGAGTTTTAATAAGGCTCGTATGCTAAAAATTTGCTCTAATGTTTTATTCTGTGATGCATTTTTATAATATTCTAGTCTAAAACATCTCAAAGCCTTAGAGGTTGTAACTGTGATCAAATGTGTGGTAGGCAGAATAGTGTCCCCTGGAATCTTTGGATATGTTTCCTTGCAGGCAGAAGGAATTTGTGGTTATGATGAAGGTTGATGATGGTAGTAGTGGTGAGCCATTGAGTGGGTTCTGACTCATAGTGAGCCTTTATAGAGTTTCCGAGGCTATAAATCTTTACAGGAGCAGAAAGCTTCATCTTTCTCCTGTGGAGTGGCTGGTAGATTCAAACTGCTGACCTTGAGGTTCGCAGCACAACTCATAACCCACTGTGTTACCAGAGCTCTTACGATTAAGGTTGTTGTTGTTGTTAAGTGCCGTTGAGTCTGTTCTGACTCATAGCAACACTAGATAGGATTTCCAAGGAGTGGCTGGTAGATTTGAATGGCTGACCTTGCAGTTCCAACCGACTTTGTAGTCCAGTGCTTATCCTACAGGGAAAATATTCTACATTGTCCAGTTGAGCCCAATCTAATCACAAATTCAATAATCTATCTTAGCTACTTAGAGGGAAATCAGACCGTGGAAGAATAGAGAGATTCAGTGTTGCGGGCTTTGAAGATGGAGAAAGGGGGCTACAGTCAAGGATTGTGCGCAACCTCCAGAAAGTAGAAAAGTCAAGAAAATAGATTCAGCCTTAACAGCTTCCAGAAAGGAGCCCAGCCCTGTAAATCCCTTGGTTTTAGCTCAGTAGCTCAGACACGTGGATTTAGCTCAATGAGAGATATGTCAGCCTTGTAACAGACTTCAGAACTGTGTGAAAATAAATTTGTGTTGTCTTAAGCCACTAAACTGTCAGTAATCTGTTACAGCAGTGATGAAAGACAATACAGAAAGAATGTTCACAATACTTTGAATATGGGAAATAAAGATTTTTTTTTCAGTTTATTTTCATTTAAGTGGGTTAGTAAACCACAGATGAAGAAAATGTTGGAGATGGTTTTGAAAGTACTAAAGAAATCTAAATGTAATGTCAAATCTGTCATAGACACCCATCCTTTTCCTACTACCCCAAAGGAAGAAGTATATATAAGATGAAAGTAAAGCCTACTTATCCGGTTCAAATTTCAAGGGTCATTTAAGAGAAAGAGACGCTCTCACTTAGTTTTTTATTTTGACCAACATGCTAGGATAGATTTCTTAGCATGTTGGTCAAAAGTATACTTAGCATGTTGGTCAAAAGCATACTTTTAAAGTAGTCTAAGGTTACATTCTAATATTTAGCATTCATACAAATGAATGTATCTCCAATAGCTCAGCCAATCACAATACTTGGACATGACCCGGACTGAATTCTCACCATCCTCTGTGTATTACTCAGCCAGTTCCATTCCACCTCAACGAGGATTAATCCTGGTCTTAACATTTTTTAAGTATTTGAGAGGGTAAGCTGAAAACACTAATTTCTTGAGAAATTTTACAGTTTATTTCTACTTCAGCATTGCTGTCGTTGTTAAGCAACATGGAGTAGGTTCCAATTCATAGCGACCCTATATGGGGTTTCCAAGGAGTGCCTTGGGGGTTTGAACTGCCAACCTTGTGGTTAGCAGTTCAGTGTTTATCCTGTAGCACCACACCAGGACTCCAGACTTCGGTATTAGGCATTTCAAAAGAAGAAAAAGAAATATTTTCATATTTGTTAATTCATTCCTTCATCTCATTAGGTTCTTCGTCAAAGAAGCAGGTTTGGACAAGCAAGGATACTTCCATATTTTCTTATTAGCTTTTGCGATTTTCTTCTTGATAATTAACTTAATTCCTCGTATATACTCTGTTTCCTTGTGAATAGGGCAATAGTTTCCTGAATTTGAATCATGCTTTTCACATAAATGTATGCATGTTTTTCTATATCTTTTCTGTGTCTGAAAATATTCAGTCCTACAGAACTATGTACATAAGTAGATGAAAGGAATGTGGAACATATGCCCATGCTGATAGATGAAAACTCAATCCTGAGGAGGAAAAAGTTATGGGTTTTGCCTGAGTTCATAGTCTTCTTTTTAAATTTTTATTTTGGTCTCTGCCTAGATCAATCTGTATTCTGCTCTACTTACTACGTTGTAGACCTTTACAGACTTTACAAGTTTAACCGATATACTTAAAGGAAAATGAAATAATTATACACTTTTTATTTTTACACCCAAACAGTTGCTCCTGATGACCCCAGTAGAAAAATAGATGGTGATATCATTATTTTTTCAAATGTTCAAGAAAGATCAAGTGCGGTATATCAGTGCAATGCTTCTAATGAATATGGCTACTTACTGGCGAACGCGTTTGTTAATGTGCTGGGTAAGCTTTTCCTTCTTTAAAGTTTTATGAAAATCATGGCAAATTCAATTAATGACAACCATTGCTTCCCATCCATTCAGTGAGAAGATATTGAGCATGTACTATATGCAGTGCACAGTACTAGGAGCTGTAAGGGGTATCTATGAAGGAGAAGATACAAATCTTACCCTACAACCTGTTATAACCTCGTCTCAATGCTCTTTCATAGCACAGTTTTTTAACTGGAAAAAATCTTCATTGTATAAAAATAGTCTAATATGAGCTGTTCTACTCACAGATGGTTAGACTAAGTATCAACCCCATTAAAAGGAAAATAACATTTGTGTATAATGATGACTGAATGTTACTGGCATATCTATCCTTGCAAAATGACAAATGATGCCAATTTTTGAAAAGTAAATCATTAATCATAATGCTTGACATTTATTCAATTTTTGTTGTTGTTGTTGTTAAGTGCCATAGCATCTGCTCCCACTCATAGCAACCCTCTCTCTCTCTCTCTCTCTCTCTCTCTATATATATATATATATATATATATATCTGGAGCTCTGGTAGCGTAGTGGTTACGAATCGGGCTGCGAACCTTAAGGTCAGCGGTTCGAAACTACCAGCCGCTCTGCGGGAGAAAGATGAGGCTTTCTACTCCCATAAAGATGTACACCCTTGGAAACCCTGTACAGGGTCGCTTTGGGTCGGAACCGACTCGACGGCACTTAACAACAACAACAATATATATATACACACACACACACACACACACACACATATAAGTGAGGGGGCTTCAAGAAGTTCATGGGAAACTGGAATTTAAAGATAGTAAAATTTTTCCACAAACTTTTTGAAGCCCTCTCCATATATTCAAGGAGCTCTGGTAGTGAAGTGGTTACAAATCGGGCTGCTAATCTCACAGTCAGCAGTTCCAAACTACCAGCTGTTCTATGGGAGAAAGATGAGGCTTTCTGCTCCCGTAAAGATTTACAGCCTTGGAACCCTTGTGCAGGGTCGCCATGAGTCAGAACTGACTCCACGGCACATAACAACAACAACATATATTCACTACAATGTTTAAAACTGAATTAATATAAAACAACATGCCACTGTGCCCTCATAAGTTCTGGCATGTAGAGCAGAGAAAAGAAGCATAATAGTAGTATCCTATCTGATGGGGCATGTAAGGGGAGGCACATGTTGGTTGTAATTTACTATCAACTCTGTTGTTGTTGTTGTTAAATGCTGTTGAGTCAGTTCTGACCCATAGAGACCATGTACAAAGTTTCTGAGGAGCAGCTGGTGGGTTTGAACCATCAACCTTTCAATTAACAGTCTAGTGCTTTTCCTGTAACAACACAAATCTAATGGCCTTAAAAAATATATAATAAATACACTGTGGTCCTAGAGTGTGTATTTTAGTGTTGATGTTTACTTTACTTTTTAAAAATATTTTTAGCTGAGCCGCCACGAATCCTCACATCTGCAAACACGCTCTATCAGGTGATCGCCAACACACCTGCTTTGCTAGACTGCGCCTTCTTTGGGTCTCCTCTGCCGACCATCGAGTGGTAAGTCATGACCTTATTTTTTGTTTATTATTGTACTTTTGCTAAAGCCATCAAATGTCTAAATACGCTGTGTTTTTGTTAGAGAATAGTTAGAGGAGAGGTGAAGAATCCATAACCCCGTTAATTATTATATTCATTCATTCATCTATTCACTCATAAATATTTAACTGCCTGCTCTCCTGCTCTGTGGTAAAGACTTTCATATACCCAATCTGTTTAGCAGCACACATTGTCAACCCTAAAGCTATATGTAAATATTTAAAAACAGCTTTCAGGTGGCTGTATTTTACAGTGCCATGACCATCGCCAGGACTTTGTGAATGATGATTGGAGGGAACGGTTGAAGACATTCCGTGATAATAAAATAGCACTGGGGTTGGGAAGGAGGTAACAAATATTTGTCTGGATTCTATGACCTCGAAAATAGATTTTGTTATTCCCAGCGTTTATCTTTAGTACATTTCCCACCTGCCCTTCTTGACTTGGATCTGGCCAAGCTTTCCTGTGTCCTTTGGCTTCCCATGTTAGATCACCCTTCATACACATCTCCTGATACCATGTTATTCACACACCTCTAGTGTGCTTACTTGAACATAAGCTGGCACAGACAAGGCTGGGGTAGACAACAGCAGTTTTGAGTTGGGATTGACTGGACGGCACACCACCACCACCATCAGCTGCCAAGTCGTGTGCTGGGATCCAGCAACTGAAGTGACAATGTTGTTGCTGTTGTTAAGTGCCGTCCAGTCAGTGCCGATTCATAGCGACCTTGTCTAAAGTTTTCATGAAGCAACTGGTGAGTTTGAACCACTGACCTTGTGGTTCAAACGGATCTTGCAGTTCAGCGCTTTATTCCACAGTGCCACACTGGCCCTCCAAACCAAGCCAAATCCATCGTCAGTCATCAATTCCAACTCATAGCAAACCTGTAGGCAAGGTACAACTGTTCCACAGGGTGTAAATCTTTACAGAAGCAGACTGCCTCATCTTTCTCCCATAGGGTTCAAACCACTGACATTTTAGCAATCAGGCACTTCAAACTCTAAGCCACCAGGGTTCCTAAGGATATGATAAATTTAGGATTAAAGAAAGACACCCTCCTGATGCAATAGTTAGTGCTCAGCTGCTAGCTGAACGTTTGGTGGTTTGAACCCACCCAAGAGCCCCATCAAAGAAAGACCTGATAGTCATTCTATGAAGACTAAAGCCAAGAAAACCCAATAGGGTGGTTCTGCTCTGTCACATGAGGCTGCCAATTGACTCCACAGCACCTAACAACAAAAAGGATTGAAGAAAGTCTCCCTGTGTCCTCATCTCCACCACAGAGGAGAAATACTGATGCTTGTGCACTTGGTTTCCAAGTGAAGGGCACAGCACAGGTTAACACACAGATTTTTAGGTTTTCTTTCTCTGACTCCTTTTCATCCATCCTCACCTGTTCTGTCTGACACGCATCCAGAAGTGGAATGTGAAGCTTCTCTCTAGATTTTCTGTCTTCTCTCCTCTGATTATTTCCCTATTCATCCTTCCAAATGTACCACCCTTTAAGCCTTGAAATCAAAATCTCTCATAAGAATTGAATCCTGCAACTACAAATCCCTCACAATCAGAAGAAAATGCCAAAAACGACAGTCTTCATTTTGTCTGTCTTACCACCTGTTTAGAGATGAAATAGGTAATCGTATTTCACTAAATTATGCATCTCAGAACAAAAATCACAATTTAAAGATTTGGTATTGTCAGCCTAACTCTCCAAGCACCATTTAACTTTGAAGTCTCCAGCTTTATGTCTTATCTTTACAATTCTTCCTCTGTAATGTGCTTGTGCAGATGTCTCTGAATTTGACATTTTAATGCTATGTTGACCTTGAAAGCAGCATTTTATGTCTGACTTTGAATTAAGAATGTTGCTTTTCTCATTGGGGGTAATGTCGTTAATAAAGGTTTAAAGGAACTAAAGGAAGTGCTCTTCGTGAAGATATTTATGTCTTACATGAAAATGGAACTTTGGAAATTCCTGTGGCCCAAAAGGACAGCACTGGATTGTATACATGTGTTGCAAGGAATAAACTGGGGATGACAAAGAATGAAGTTCAGTTAGAAATCAAAGGTACATCAGAGGTCACGCTTTCTTCTGCTTTTGATTTTGAGCAAATTCTCCAACTGTAGCAATGGATAACATGACAATAACACTACATTTCAGATCCAACAAGCATCATTAAACAGCCTGAACATGCAGTTGTACAAAGAGGAGGGATGGTATCCTTCGAATGCAAAGTGAAACATGACCATACCTTAATCCCCACAGTCCAGTGGTTGAAGGACAATGATGAGCTGCCCAATGATGGAAGGTATTTGAACACAATTTCTTTCCTTTCTCTTTAAGCTGCTATTAAACTACAGATGTATTGTACGGTGACTCAGAGGTGACATTATTTATGTTCCTGGAGCCTGTGTTGTTGTTGTTAAGTGCCAGTGAGTTGGTTCCGACTAGCAGCAACCCTAGATAGATAGGATTTCCAAGGAGTGGCTGGTGGGTTTGAACCACCAACCTTGCAGTTAGCAGTCCAGTGCTTATCCTACAGCCCCACACCAAGACTCTTGGAGCCTACTGTCTCTAAAATAAAGAGAGAAGCATTTCTCCCCACTGTAAAATGTTAGGACCTAAACAGCTGGCACAGTATTGAAATAAGACACTAAGAATATTAGTCTGTCTTTGTGTGTTGCTCTCCTTTATAACTTGGGATGGGAAAAACCCTTCAGGCCTAGAATAATGCCCATTGTTTTGTACTTTGTACAATGAAGTCTCAACAGATGTTTTCATTATCACTCTACAAATAAGTAGAAATATAATCTCATTAATTACCAGAGTGTGCCTGGATCCTTGTCAGTATAAGATACTATACTGTTATGTTGTTATTTGGATAGGGAATTTTATTTTAATTTTCTCTAAAGTCAGTGGAAGATAAAAAATAGTGAAATAAATAAGGCAAAGCATTTCAACAAGCCTGAGCATGCTGTAGTCCTTGAATTTGGACAGGGAGAGCAACCAGGCTGTTTTCCAGGGGAGGCCCTCAATTTGACATAGTAAGTACAGTGAGTTGAATGAATAAATTTTAGCAGTAACTGAATGGCTGTAAGCATTGCTCTGACTTGGAAGGAATGTTGTATTCTACTGGAAATGGTTCCTAAGGTTTTCTTTCTTTCTTTTATGTATATTTATAAAGAGAATTTTATTAGCAAGGAAATGGCTTACAGTTGTAGAGGCCCCGGTTCCCAGCAGAAGATAGACTGTTCCTCCTATGTGTCCATTATACTGAGAGCAGGCCACACCCCCAAGGAAGCATCCCTTCAATTGATTGGCTGATCATAGCCGTTCATCATAGAACTAACTATGCCTGTATTAGGTTTCATTACCATAGGAATAAACACATCCCAACTGCTAAACCTCTAGAAATCCTGACCTAGTCAAGTTGACACAAACCCCTAGCCATTACATTGTACCTTTGTCAACTTGAAACCTTTAAACTATATGCATAATCTTAAAGAAAATTGTAAAGTCATACTTGGCCTAACATTATAGAACTAAAACACATACAACTGAAAATGCACTGGCCCCACTTACATCTTATATGTCACAAATGAACAAAGCAAAAATATTTGATGCACACAAACAAAACAAAAATATATATTCATTTCAATGTCTAAAGGGCAATTCTGCAAGCCGGCCTCCTGCCCATAGACACACAGCCTTACTCAGTCCAAGGGCCTAGAGTCCACAGCTGCTCTGTCTCTCCGTGCCACCACCTCTGCCACTGTCTCTGCTTTCACTGCTTTTGCAGGCAAGGATCTATCCCATGCTCCACTGGTGCTCTTCCTTAAATGATGATTCTGGGATCTTCTGTTCCTGAAATGAAAGATCAGTACTCACTGCTTTTAGTTACACATCTACAATACAGTTTTGACCATCACAATTAGTTCTACTAACAATTACTCACAATTGAAATCATAAAATCCTGTCAGCATTATCCCCCATCCCCTTTCACCAGACCCATCTGGAAAAGAGTAAAATGACTCAGTGGAGATTCTACCTTGTTCCCTTATTATAAAAATTAAAACTAAGCACATGCATGAAAGCTTGTAAGCCAGCCTTTTTTTCATGCCCTTACAGCCCCCCATTTTTAGTAGCCAATGTCTAAACTGCCCATCTCTATCAACCCAGTACACTGAGGAGACAAGCATGTTCCTTGATATGAAAAACATTCCATTCCAATTGGAATTTGAAGCAACTGCATCCATAAGCAAATGCCCAGTCCATCAAATTGTAGTAATTAATACTTGCTCTCATTATCAAACATCTTTATCTTCATCTGATCAGATCCTGATCAGCTCAACTCTAGCCATCCAAGTGAGGTCAAATGAGTTGTTGTTGTTAAGTGTCATCGAGTCAGTTCCAACCCAAAGCGAACCTGTGTAGGGTTTCCAAGGAGTGGCTGAAGAAGTTGAACCAACAACCTTTGCAGTCCAGTGCATTACCAGCTGCAAGTTGGGGAGTTCACACACACCAGGTCAGTGCTCTCTCGTGGACAGAGAAGTTCACACAACTCCCTAAACTTCAGACCAGTCTTCCCTTTTATCTCATCTCAAGGTCAACGGTGCCAATAGAATCTGTCCAGACTCAGCTGAGTCTTCTTCATTGCTACATTTCCCCCCAGTTCCACTCACATGCAGATTCTGATGGTCACCAGCGAGCATAAGACTCGCCAGTTCCTTTAACTTTCAGTCCTAGAAGAGGGTTTTCTCTGATAGGCCAACTTTACTTGCCTTGATACCTCTGAAACTCAAAATGCCAAACTGCTTTTTTTCTGCTGGAATCTCCTGTTCTCCCAGCAGTCCTGGGTTGGTCTGCATGTCTTTTCAAATGCAGATGTCCCAACTCTGAAGTCTCAGGATTCCACTGAAGGCCTCATACTCTACAAAGACTTACACCAAGAAACCTGTTTTTCCCTGAACAAGTTCTAACTCCCCTTTTAGCAAATCCAATCAAATATATATTGAAGGTAGGTTTACAAGTGGTCTGTAGCCATGATCCCCAGTAATTCCTATCACACATATATGTCTATTTTACAGTAATAGGCAGGAGAAACCCATATCCATAGGCTTTTAAAATACTCAAGGTCAGTCTTGTCTTCTCCCTTGGATTAACCCCTCCTTTTATATGCATATGGTTTTGGGCCTCTGGCTGGGTGGATTCCTGTAGGCCCTAGCCATTCACCAGCTGTCTTTTCTATTTAGCCTAACATGGGCTCCAGGCAATTCCAGAAGCTGCTCTTCCTTCAGCTGAAACATTTTATCCCAGCCCCCCTTCTTTTTTTCTCTTATAAAACCTCATAAATTCATAGTTCTGAGGGCATTACAATGAATCCTGCTCACAGCACCAACTGCTTAAACCAAGTAGGACCCATGCTTGACTCCCTCTGACTCCACAAGAGGGAAAGAAGGACAAACTCAAAATCAGCCCAACGCAGATTCCTATGAAGTGGAGGTCAGACATGCTTCCACCCTATATCAATGCTTTCTAAATGAGCCAGACTTGAGAACCAATTTAGAAAACCTATCCTTATGACTGTTTCGCTAAACTCCACTCTCTCAGTATCACATGTGTTAGGCCAGATTTTCTAGAGAAGCAAAATCAGTGAAACATATATGTGTATATATATAGAGAGAGAGAGAGAAGGTTATTATTTAAAAAAAAAAAAAAAAATGACTTAAAATTGTAGAGTCCCAGAGCGGTTCCTAAAGTTTTCATGCAACTGACAGAAAGCTATGGTCCCTATTGTTTACTACCCTCCCCGCAACCCCCAAAAGAACAGTTGCTATCGAGTAGATCCCAGTTCATAGTGGGCCCATGCGTTGGGGATATGGAATAGAATTGTACTCCATGAGACTTTTTAGGCTTTAACCTTTTGGGAGCAGATTGCCAGGCCTTTCTTCCTCGGCACCTCTGGGTGGCTTCAAACTGCCAACCTTTACAAATTAGTAGTCAAGCACATAACTGTTTGTGCCATCCAGGAATTTGCTTATTAATAGCCCCCAAGACTGTGTGGACTTCTCATATCTATGACCAGAGTTTTCATTTAGTTCTACACTTCCAACTGTTCAACTTTATTTTTGTAATCTGAATTGATATGGACATGAAGGCTACTAAAATTTTCACTTGGAAATCACCCAAGAAGACAGTCTATGATTCATGCAGCCTCATTTAAATCATATACCTTGGTTTTTGACCCTGTGAGTCATTTTTTGTACTCACAAGTAACCTTTAGGAAACCTTAGTGGAGATTGCTGGTCTGAATTTTCCTCTTTCTAGTGATAACGCAGATACTCTTTGCTTTTACTTTCTGTTATGAATTAACAAGGAGCCCTGGTGGCACAGTGGTTAAGCACTCAGCTGCCAACTGAAAGGTTGATGGTTTGAATCCACCAGATGCTCTGCAGGAAAAAGATGAAGCAGTCGGCATCTGTAAAGATTTCAACCTTGGACATCCCTTGGGGTAGTTCTTTTCTGTTCTATAGGGTCACCATTAGTCAGAAGCAACCCAAAGGATGAGAATTTACACATTTGGCATAAAGGACATCAAATGTCTGTGGGTAGATAATAAAGAAATAATTTTTAAATACTGGCTTTGTTAGAAATTTAGCTGGGTGAATGGTTTTCAAATGCTTGTTAGCAACAGAGGCTTTGGCAAAGCCCCTTCATTAATAAGAGTAACTGTACAGTCTCCACCACGTCACCTCCAAGGCCCCAGGGAACTTTCAGGAAGCTCCAAAGACTCCAAAGCATGATGGAAAGGCACCGTATCAGACGCCTTAATACCACCTTCTAACCCAAGTGTTTTCATTCAACTGTTTAAATAGTTTTCCAATTGTCATCATCATTCAAGAGATACAGATGGTATAGTACTAGGTCTAATGCCCTGCAAATCTTCATCATCTTTCTCTTTTCCCAAGTTCAAGGAGTTTCTCTCGCCTGGTTGAGCAATTGCAGGTGTGGCTGGCTGCTCATTTCAGCTGCTTTGCTTGTGTCTCATTCACAGGTTCACCGTGGACAAGGACCATTTGGTGGTATCTGATGTAGGTGACAGCGATGGGGGGACATATACATGTGTGGCCAACACAACTTTGGACAACGTCTCTGCCAGTGCTGTGCTTAGTGTTGTTGGTAAGATCTAAAGTGAATTTAGCACAATCAGTTGCTCAGTGTTAGGTCGAAAAGAAAAACTACAAATATTAAATGTTGGCTTATTGTTTAGCTACAATTTTATAGATGAGTTAAATATCTATAATTTTCTTCTTTAAAAACAATGTTTTTAAGGCAGTGGTCTCTGTGTGCTTTACCGCTGTGGCATCACTGGGAAAAAAGGGTGGATATGGGCATTAATGATATTTTCATAAGAAAATTTGGAGAAATGGCCTTTTACTTCAAATCAAGAGCTTTTCTCCCTTCAATTATGACTGCATGGTAGCCAATGCCAGTCTCCACAGCTAAACATAGAGCTTAGTTTTATAACCTTGATCATGTGGAATCTTTGTCTTTTGTGCTATTTTGTATCTTTCTATTACTAATTTTGACTAAAATCGTTTATATTAATGTCCTTTCTAGCTCCTACTCCAACTGCCGCTCCCATTTACGGTAAACTAATATGAATCTTCTTTCTGTTTTCTGTGAAACAATTTCATATTGGCAGGGAAAAGTCATTACTCTGGCTTCTCCTTCCATCGTTACGCTACTTTAAGGAAAAGGGTACAGTCATGTGTTTGGCTGTGTTGCCCGTTTACTGCTTCATTCTACCCTGGAAGTTTTCACTGCGGGTAGTGTCAGTCAATATGAAGTACTTCATGTATTATCTAGTAACATCTCCCTTCGATTTAACACAGTTTCCTTATAAAGTGGCATAGTGCTTTTTCAAATACCACCACCCATATGTCACAGAATGAAAAAGCTATTTAAAATTCCATTTTATAAGTCAGGTTTTCACTTCAGTCCAATAAAAGTTGCTTTGGAAAATAAGCATTGTTTGGGGATTCCATTTTCAAAAAAATTTACACAAGAACAAAAATGGATATTGAGAACAACAATTTGCCTCTGTATTAATGAAAACTAATCATTTAAAAATAAATAAATAAGAATGACATCCATGCTATATGATTTTTCTGAGTCTGGGAAATAAATCAGAAATATTTTTTTTGTAGAAAACTCATTTTACTTAGCACATAAATACAAAAATTAATCCTGTAGCATAATTCTAAATTGGAATATATTGACAGAAACCAAATCAACAGCACTTAACAATTATATATATATAGTTACATATTGGGCTGGTAACTACAAGGCCAGCAGTTTGAGTCCATTAGGTGCTCTAGGGAAGAAAGGGGAGACTCTCTACTCCTGTAAAGATTTACCACCTCGAAAACCCTATACAGGGTCACTATAACTTAGAACTAATTCAACAGCATACAGCATATATATATATATATATATATATATATATATATAAAGTGAATATATATATATACTCACTTCACACCAGCCACATTGTTGTTGTTAAGTTCTGTAGAGTAGATTCCAACTCATAGTGACCCTGTGTAGGATTTCTAAGGAATGGCTGGTGAGTTTGAGCTGCCTGCCTTGCAGTTCAAACTGACCTTGAGATCCAGTGCTTATGCAGAACTTTAGATAGATGATAGATAGATAAATAGATAGATACATAGATACATAGATAGATAGATTCATAGATACATAGATAGATAATGATACATCAAGGATCGGTAAATAAAGAGAGAGAGAGAGAAAGAAAACAAAATAAAGGTGAACCGATTCTTAATCCCATGTAATAGGATCCCTGGTGGCACAGTGGGTTAAGCATTGGGCTGCTAACTGAAAGGTCAGCAGTTTGAACCCACCACCCTCTCCACAGGAACTAGATGATGCAGTCCACATCTGTAAAGATTGATAGCCTCAGACGCCCTATAGGGCAGCTCTACTCCAACCTATAGGTGTCATCCTGGTTCACCGCAGTGGGTGAACTACTGATAAGAAAAAAATCACCCATACTTTATATGATTTCTGGTTCCCCAAGAGCCAAATTGTTACACAATCAAGACTAAGCAAAGACTGAGGAAGAATGTAAACTCTCTGTGTCTCAGAAACACCCTAAGAGGAGGCAGACAAGTGTTGGGGTAACTCTGTCCCAACAAAGTGCTTCTACCCTGCAGTTTCTGAGAGTAAACACACCTCACCATGTGTCTGACTATTATATGGAAGATGGTATGGAAGCATATGCATGTATACTGAAGGCTGCCTATGTCACATCCATTTTAGAATTCCCTTGGAAATATCAATATTTTTCAGAAGCCTTGACATCTATAATTCAACATGTTTCAGAAAGATTATTTGAATCTTTTTAAAACAGTCAAGTTTCTTTGTCTCTCTTTGATTGTCTGCATTTGCTCTTTTCTGTTGCCCATTTATTAGGAACTAAGCTTTCATGTTATTTTATGTTTGTGCACAGTCATGTTTCCGAGGAGATGCTCACTGAGGTGCTGATGGACCACACAGCTCTGCCTCACTAACCGGTTACGAATAACTTGGTCCCATTGAAAACACAAGCCAGCAAGGCTCAGTGACAGGAGATCTTGGGTGTGCTTGTGTGTTCCCTGCAACCTCAGTCGTTTCCACTTCATTTTCCTTGCATGCCACTGACCGTTAGTTGTGGCTCTTCTGTCATAGCATCATGAGTAAAGGAGAGAGCCTCACGAAGGCAAGACTTAACCAGGATGTGTGTTTTTGGTCTACAGATGTCCCAAATCCTCCCTTTGATTTAGAATTGACAAATCATCTCGACAAAAGTGTTCAGCTCTCTTGGACCCCGGGTGATGACAACAATAGTCCTATTACAAGTATGTGGGATCGTTTGATTTCTGTAACAGACATGATGGCCTTTTTAAAAAGAAATTTATAATAATGCAATTTCAAATACTTATAGAGTTATTTGCTAGCAGCCTTTCTTCTTTAATAATAGGACAAAAATGCTTCTATTTATTTATGGAATCTCTTCAGAGCCAGAGTTTTTCTGTTTACAGGTCTGGCTGGTGGCACTAATTAATAATGATGTTAACTAAGCAACTGTACTTTTTGTGTTTAAAATCCGTATCATCACCTTAAATGTCTACCATAAAGGAAGCTGAATCCTAAATTACTTACTCATTTTGCCTACTATTCTGAAAGAAAGGTAGAGGAGAAGGTACTGTCATCCGTCATCTATATATTAGGAAACTGAGAATTGATAAGTAAAGTGAATTGGTAACAGAACTGGGTGTAGATATCAACTTCATTAACTTCCACCTTAAGCCTGCTTTCTCTCCATTGGGTAAGTTACAAAGTACTGCTTCAGGGTTCCAGTTCATACATGTACAGATTTGTTGTAAACCAAACGTGTTTATACATGGCTCTGCGATCAGTGGACAGCTGCAGACAAATTCTCTCAGTAACACATTGGTCTTAGTCTCATTAGGGTGCTTTCGAAACAAAACTCTAATCTACCCTGGGGTTAATGCATCAGACTGCAAAGTCGTTTGAACTGCAAGGTCAGCAGTTCAAGCTCACCAGCTGCTCCTCAGGGTCGCTGTGGATTGGAACCGACTCTAAGGCACTTTACAACAACAATATACCCTACAACTTTGATTTTGCCCTTCAGACTTCATTTTGTTTCCCAAACACAAAGAATATTTAAGGAACATGATTTGAGTCCTTTGAGGATGCCAAAACTGCTGTGTTGACATGGTGTAAATCAAAAAGCACAGAATTCTTGGAGGAAGGGCTTCAGAGATGGAAATGTCACCTTCAGAAGTATGTAGGCCTACCTGGAGGATATGTCAAGGAACAATAGCTTTGTATATGAATACTTTTGTTTAGTAAAAGCCTTTTGATCTACCTTCATATATGCACGTATGTATATTTACATGCACACAGTTCCGAAAAAGTTCACGAGAGGAACTGCTGTAAGGAGAGCTTACTGACAACCTCCGTCTCTTGCACCTCAGGGATGTGCTGTATTGTTCACACTGAGGCCACTTTCCCCTGAGCTACTTACTAGCCAGTGACTACCCACAGCCTGGCTGAATTAGACGACTGCAGGGCTCTGCTAATTGGCTAACGTTGCGCTAGTGCTCCCTGTTGACTGGATGAGACTTCCTCAGAACTACAGTGCAATCCAAGTAAAGCAAAGCCACATTGTAGTCCAGAGGTCCTCCCTGCCTGCTCCTACTTTTTCTCCCTGTTATCTCCCATGCGCAGTTTTCCAAGTCAGTCTCTTGCACTTCTAATTCTTTCTTGGCATTTTCTGTCTAGAGGGCTCAAACATACATATACACACACACACACACACACACACACACACACACACACACACACGGTGTGGTGCTAGGATCAGCATGGGACTGTGAACCATAAGGTCAGTAGTTCAAACTCACCAACTGTTCCTTGGATACCCTATACAAGGTCACTACAGGTCAGGACTGGACGGCACTTAACAACGATACATACGTGATTTCAATATTAATAGAATATTAATATTTCAATATTAATTGAAATCAAAATTAATTATATTAATTACTGTCATATTTTAATAATGTCATGTCTCTGGGAAAAAGCATATGCTGTATTAAAAAGCAAGTGTCACATGAAAATCAGTGTGGAATAGGAAATGAAAATGGGAGTGTCCAATGTGTTTCTAATATTTGTAAAGTTGTGCAGGGCCAATAGGTTCTACATTGTTATGACATAAATCTATTCAGTTGTATGAACCTAATTAATATATGGAAATGTTAGGTGTTTCTTTTTGCATGAGGGAGACAAATGCAAATCTACTGAGACATTAAGTAAGCCTTGAGCCAAGAAAGTTTGGGAACTTCTGAATTAAGAGATTATACAACAATTCCTGTATTGCATGAGGCAAATCTGCTGCACAAGACCTCTTTAAAGCGCTCAAGAGCAAAGCTGTCAGTTTGAGGACTAAGGGGAGCCTGGCCCAAACCAAGGCATTTTCAATAGCCTCATATGGAGTCCTGGTGTGGCGCTGTGGGTTAATGCACTAGACTGCAAAGTCAGTTTGAACTGCAAGGTTGGTGGTTCAAGCTCAACAGTCGCTCCTTGGAAACCCTCTAGAGGGTCGCTATGGGTTGGAACCGACTCAGTGGCACTTAACAACAACAACATATGCATGCGAAAGCTGGACAGTGAATAAGGAAGACCAAAGAAGAATTGATGCATTTGAGTTATGGTGCTGAAGAAGAATATTAAAATTACCATGAACCTCCAGAAGAACAAACAAACCTGTATTGGAAGAAGTGCAGCCAGAATGCTCCTTAAAAGCCAGGATGGTGAAATGTCATCCCTCATACTTTGGACATGTTATCAGGAGGGACCAGTCCACTTTATCATGCTTGATAAAGTGGAGGGTCAATGAAAAAGAAGAAGACTCCCAACAAGATAGATGACACAGCGGCAGCAGCAATGGGCTCAAGCATAACAATTGTGAGGATGGTGCGGGCCCAGACAGTGTTTTGTTATGTTGTGCGTAGGGTCCCTATGGTTTGGAACAGACTAAATGGCACCTAACAACAACAGCAACAACCATTCATATAGACGATGATGGTGGCTTGGAATAAGTTGAGAGGAATGGAGGTGCTGAGGAATGGTTAGATTTGGGATCTTTTTTTCCAAGTAGAACAGATAGAACTATTGAAAGTTTGAAAGAAGGGAAAGAGCCAAGAGCTCCAAGGTTTTGACCTGTGTTGTCAAAGGGGAGGGAAGGAAGAACCAGATCTGTTTGGGTCATAGCTAGTTTGAAATGTCTAATAAACAACCAAATAAGTTGTTGAGTTGGCTATTGGCTATCCAAGTCTACAGTTCAAGGAAGCGTTCTGAGCTGCAGACATAAAAGTGAAAGGCATCAGTTTATGAGACTGAAGATCACCTACAAGTTAATATCGAAGGCAAGAACAATTCCAACTCTCATAGAGAATAGCATATGTAATCTTTCTAACTCATCTGTACTTCTATAATTCACAATACATTACCTGACACATAGGAGGCAATCAATGAATATATAATAGCACTTTTTACATAGGTAAAATATGTACATACGTTTTCATAGTAACAAAATGGCTTGCACTGGAAGTAAGACTTCCTCCCACCTCTGAATCAGATTCCTCTGGTGACCTTTGTATTATCAGTGTGTACCCTCTGAGAAATAATAACACATGTACACGCAAGCATCTAATCTGTCATTACAAATGCTTTTTCTCTTATACAAGTTAGTACCCAACACACATTCTTCTATTCCATTTGGCTTTAGGTGTTGTTATTAAGTGTTATTGAGTCAGTTCTGACTCATAGCAACCCTGTATAGAGTTTCTGAGGAGGGGCTGGTAGATGTGAACTGCCTACCTTGCTGTTAGCAGTCCAGTGCTTATTCTACAGCACCACACTAAGACTCCTGGTTTTAGGTAACAACATGTTTTAGAAATCATGTTACTTCAGTACATTTCAGCAGCTTCATTTACTTGCAAGCTGCAGAATATTGCATTGTGTGGATTGAGCATTCTTTACTTAATTGGCATCCTACTGATGAGATTTAGTTTGGGGTTTGTTTGGGTTTTTTTCAATTGCTAACAATGCTATAATGTGAATTATTTTCCCTGTGTCTTCAAGCATATGTGTGAAGATATTTATTCAGAATAAATTGCTAGAAGTACAGTTTCTCAATCAAAGAATGTGTAATGTCAAATATTTTTAGATGTTCCCAGATTGCCCTCTATAGAATTTGCATCAATTTACACTTCTCACAAACCAAATATGAGACTATCTGTTTCTCTACATCATAGTCAACAAAATGTGCTAAGCCTTTGATCTCTGCCAGTCTGTTAAGTGAGAAATAGCATCTTGCTGTATTTAATTTACTTTCTATTATTATGGAAAAAAACAAATGAACATCTTTTCATATATTTAATTTTTTTTAGGGGTATACAGATTACTTATAAACAGTGTTAAAAAAACTAAACTCAACATGCTAGAGAAAGATTACCAGATATTTTGGTGTTTCAAAAAGTATTAGGGATAATACTGGAACTCTGATAACAAAATACCTTAATGGAATTATTCTTGGAAGTAAAAGAATTTATGTTTAGTTACTCTTGCTAGTAGTCCTTGTAAGTTGTTTCTAAGTGGCCCTGGTGAGGCAGTGGATTAAGCATTCGTCTGCTAACTCAAAAGTCAATGGTTCCAACCCACCAACTCTGTGAGAGAAAGGTGGGGTACTGGGTTTTGGTTATTTCCAGCAGCCAGCCTGTTCGGTGACATTTGAATTTCCTTTTTATTTTAAATGGTACGACGCTGTGGGATAAAGCACTGGACCACAAGATTGAGTTTAACCACAAGGTTGGCGGTTCAAGCTCACCAGCTGCTCCTTGGAAATCCTACACAGGGTCACTATGAGTGGGAACAGACTCTACGGCATTTAAGAACAATAACAACAACATTCATACCTTTAGAAGAGACCTAGTGGCTCAGTAGTTAAGCACTCACTTGGCTGCTAACCAAAGAGTGGACAGTTTGAACCCACCAGCCCCTCCACAGAAGACAGATGTGGCAATCTGCTTCCATAAAGATTTACAGCCTTGAAAACCCTATGGGGGAAGTTCTCCTCTGTCCTGAAGGATTGCTGGGAGTTAACATTGAATTGACAGCAGTGAGATTAGGATTTTGAAACCAGGGAACCTTTTAAAATCTCTATGTGACAGACCATGATATTTTTCATTGTGACAGAATAATGATAAGAATGTTTGCCTAGAGATTAAACAAGAATCAACAGTCAGATCGTACTGATAAGTAACACACAAAGTTCACATACTCAGAACCACTCCAAAACCAAAACAACAACAAAAAACTGACAATAGTTTAGTGCATGCCTTCCACATGGTTCTCTATGATGGTGATAATTCTAGCTAACATTCATTGAGCATATATGTGTCTGGCACCTTTTCCAAAAAGATATGGATCACTTTTAAACAGCGTTAAGTAACTAAATTCACTATACTAAAAAAAAAGAATACCAAATATATTAGTGTGCTCAGAAGTATTGAGGCTAGTGATAGAATTCTGAGATGAAAATATTTTAATGGCGCTTTTCCTGTCTGTAAAGCTGTTCATGTTTGGCTACTCTTGTTAGATCGTCCTGTTAGTTATACTTAACAATCAACCTCGTGGGTGACTGAATGCACTCTTCTGGGCTTGTGTGTTGGCCAGAATTCATCATTGAGTATGAAGATTCAATGCATGAAGCAGGGCTGTGGCACCACCAAACAGAAGTCTCTGGAACTCAGACCACAGCCCAGCTGAAGCTGTCGCCTTATGTGAACTACTCCTTCCGAGTGGTGGCAGTGAACAACATCGGGAGGAGCTTGCCCAGTGAGGCCTCAGAACAGTATTTGACTAAAGCAGCAGGTAAGGAAAGACTTCTGTGATATTAAATAAACAGAGACACTTTTCACTATTTGGAAAAAAGAGTTTACACATGTATGACTACTTAACTTCCAGAACCGGATAAAAACCCCACGACTGTAGAAGGGATCGGATCCGAGCCAGACAACCTGCTGATCACCTGGAAGGTGAGTATGAAGCCTTCAACAAACTTGTTTCAATTTAGAAAAAAAAAAGTTGTTTTAAAATAATTTCTGCATAAAATCCTGTTTTCACTCATTTCTGAATATATGGGGGCTTCAAAAAGTTGGTGAGAGATGCCACTATCTTTTAATTCCATTTTCCACCACATGTTTAAAGCTCCTTCATATATTGTATATGTATATCTGCTGCTGTTGTTGTTAAGAGCCATCAAATTGGTTCTGACCCAGGGTTTTTGAGGAATGACTGATGAGCTTGAACTGCCAACCTTGTAGTTCAAACCAACTTTGTAGTACAATGCAGTAACCCACAGCACCACACCAGGACTCCGATATATCTATATATCTATGTATCTTTATAGATGAGGGGGCATCAAAGAGTTCATGGAAAAATTCTATAATTTTTTTCATTCCATATTTTCATGAACTTTTTGAAGCCCCCTCGTGTATTAAGAAGCCCGGTGTGGCACTGTGAGTTAATGTGCTGGATTGCAATGTCATTTGAACCGCAAGGTTGGCAGTTCAAGCTCACCAGGCACTCCTTGGATATCTTATACAGGGTCATTTTGGGTTGGAACCAACTCAAAGGCATTTAACAACAACAACATTGTATAGTTGCTATAACCTTGGTCTCTGGAACCAAAATGCATGGTTGAAAAGTCCAGCTCTGACATTAACTGTACAACCTTAAATAAATTGTATAACAACTCTGTTATGCATCTGTTGTTGTTGTTACATACTGTCATGTCAATTCCAGTCTATAACAGCCCTGTATAGGGTTTCCGAGGATCAGATGGTGAGCTGGATCTGCTGAGCTTGAAGTTCAAAGTGACTTTGAAGTCCAGCGCATTAGCCCACAAAGCCACACCAGGACTCCGTTATGCACCTATACAATGGAAATAATAATAGAACCAACTTCATATGATTGAAGAAGTTAATACATGTAGTGTATCTAGAATAGTGTCAGACACATATATGTTCAATGATTGTTAGCTAGAATTATCACCATCATAGAGAACCATGTGGAAGGCATGCACTAAACTATTCTCAGTACTTTACTTGCCTTTTTTGTATTTTTGTTTCTTTGCTAATTTCTATTTTCTGGATTTTGAAAATTAACATATATTTGCTTATGTAATTAAAAAATATATTTTACATAGATTTATCTGTGTTACTTCAGTACATAGCAATATCCCCATTCTCTTTTAAACTGTAGAATACTCCATTGTGTGGATTGAGCATTATTTACTTAATCAGCATCCTATTGATGGAGAGTGAGCTTAGTTTTTTTGTTTTAATTAGGTTGCTTCAATTGCTAACAGTGCTGTAATGTGGATTCTTTTCCCTACGTTCATATACATACAAACAGAATAGATTGACCAGCCAACCTCTTTTTGTTGTACTTGTTGTTTTAATAGAAAGGGAAATAGTTCACAAATTTCAGTCTCACAGTAAAATGAACAACGATATGCTATCACACCAACAAGAATATGTAAAAGAAACTCTAGAGTGGAAATGTTTTTAGGGTCACCACCCTTGGACATGGAGTAGGGGTTTGAGAGGCTCATGTGGTATTTACTGCTTTAGGTAATTTGCAACCTTTGAAATGATGATCCCAAACTAATATTTTCGTACTTCAGTTCTCACTTATTTTAGGTCTGGAAATCCAATGTGATCTTCCAGAAAAAGGCCATACAGTCTGTTTTGTAAGCTCTGGTTATTTGGATTGTCTTGTAGCCTTTGAATGGTTTTGAGTCCAACGGGCCAGGCCTGCAGTACAAAGTGAGCTGGCGCCAGAAAGATGGTGACGATGAATGGACCTCTGTGGTCGTGGCCAATGTGTCCAAATATATTGTCTCAGGCACGCCAACCTTTGTTCCATACCTGGTAAAAGTCCAGGCCCTAAATGACGTGGGGTTTGCTCCAGAGCCAGCTATAGTCATGGGACATTCCGGAGAAGACCGTAAGTGTCTAATGCTCTTTCATTTATAGTTTTATGAAATATTAGGTTTGTCTCCAGCAAACAAAATGGCAAGGCCATTTCTAGAAATGATGGGATTTGGGAGGGAGGGAGGGAGGCGGCAATTATTTTCATGACCATCTCTGAATTTAAATAGCATGCTTCTTTAAAAAAAGAAAGAGAGAGATTCAGAAAATTAAAGATGATTACTTTAAAAAACAAATGGTTCTCAAATGTCCAGTGAATAGATATAAGACAACCTACTCTTAATGCTTGAGAATCCCTACATTAAGGGCATTTCTCAAACTGAAATCATTAGACAGTGACATTTTTGCATGAAATTCAAAATAACCTTGATACTTGTAGCCTTCCTATGTGTTTTCTCTAGTTCCAATGGTGGCTCCTGGGAATGTGCGTGTGAATGTGGTGAACAGTACCTTAGCTGAGGTACACTGGGACCCAGTACCTCTGAAAAGCATCCGCGGACACCTACAAGGCTATCGGGCAAGTGAAGTGGCATTTCCTGTCCTTTCCTGTCACTGCATAGGCACACAGCAACAAGGTGGAGGAGACCTCAAGAGTTCCCTCCTGCAGCCTCAGACAGGGCACCTCTAAGGATTCCAGCTAGTTAGAAATCAAAATCCCGGTGCCTCCAAAGTTAGGAAAAAGACCTTTCTCCATTTGTCACATAGGTGACATAATATTCTGCCAACTCAAGGATTAGCATGGGCACCAAATGGAGAAAATTAATGTTTAAAGAATAAAATGTAACAAACGTCACTTAACTTGAAAGCAAGTTTGATAACATTTGTTGAACTCACCAAATTATCCTGGAAATAATTTAGACTTTTAAAAATACTTCAGATGATACTTCAAAATCATGTAGACCTAACCTGGTCATCTTGTGTATATCAGTGATCTTTGTTCTTGGTATTGTTTCTTGGAAACTTGATTGGTAGGCAAAGAACATTTTGTACAAAAAAAAAGAAAAAAGAAAAACCCTCACTACTTTGATTTACTGTCCCTGACCTCTAGAGGTCAAGTTTTGTATTGCAATATTTTCTAGTGTGGCATTGTATGACAAGCATTGGACTGTGAACCACATGGTTGGCAGTTCAAAGCCACTAGCTGCTCCTCAAAAACTCTGCACAGAGTCGCTATGAGTCAGAATCAACTCAATGGCACTTAACAACAACAATGTTCAATTTTATTTTTCTAACCTTGAGCTCTGGTAGCGTAGTGGTTACGAATCGGGCTGCGAGCCGCAAGGTCAGCAGTTCAAAACTACCAGCGGTTCCGTGGGAAAAAGATGAGACAGCCTGCTCCCGGAAAGATTTATAGCCTCGGAAACCCTGTGTAGGGTCGCTATGAGTCGAAACCGACTCTACGGCACATAACGACAACGACAACCTTGAGTAGTGGATTACACATTAGGCTGCCAACTGCAAGGTCAGCAGTTCAAATCTACCAGCCACTCCACAAGAGAAAGATAAGGCTTTCTACTTCCATAAACATTTACAACCTTAGAAATCCTATATAAGGATCACTGCATCCAAACTGACTCACTGGCACACAACCACCACCAACAATAACATTGCCAAATCCTCTGTGATGAGGGGACTTCAAAAAGCCCTTGGAAACATTTAATTGTCTTTTAATTCAGTTCTTTTATGAACTTTTTTGCATCCTCCTTATATATATTGGTTTCTGTTTAAAATACCTTTAATGTTTTAAGAATATTTTTAGAGGACATCATAAACAATTCTGGATTGGTAACCAAAGTATATCAGTTCACGTTTCCAAAAATTATACCTACAATTAATATTAAAATATAAGCATTTTCAATAAAGTAATTTAGTCTGGCCTAATGGAAAAGCCTGGATTTGGAGTGGAGAGTACTTGATAGCTCTTTGGTCTCTGTCAAATCACTCACTGGTCTAGAGCCTCATCCATACCATTGATGTTGTTATGTGCCGCCGAGTGGGTTCCAACTCATAACAACCCTGTGGACAACAGAACAAAAGACTTCCTGGTTCTGCGCCATCCTCACAATTGTTGTTATGCTTGAGGTCCATTGCTGCTGCTGTTCCATCTCGCTGGGAGCCTTCCTCTTGATTCATTGACCCTCCACTTTATCAAGTATAATGTCCTTCTCTAAGGACTGGTCCCTTCTGATAACATGCCTAAAGTATGAGCGACAAAGTCAAACCATCTTTGTTTCTAAGGAATATTCTAGCTGTATTTATTCCAGCACAGATTTGTTTGTTCTTCTGGCAGTGCATGGTATTTTCAATCTTCTTCTACAATACCATAAATCAAATGCATCAATTCTTCTATGGTCTTCTTCATTCACTGTGCAACTTTCACATGCATATGAGACGACTCAGAATACCATAACTTGGATCAGGCACCCCTTAGTCCTCAAACTGATACCTTTGCTCTAGAACAACAACATACCATACCAAACCCCAAAAACGGAACCACAGCCACTGAGTCGTTCTGACTCATACAGAAGCAGATAGCTTCTTCTTTCTCCCGCAGAGAGGCTAGTAGGTTTGAATCACTGATCTTGCTATTAACAGCCAAATCTACAATCCATACCACAGGAATAATGATAATATGACCTCACTGTGGTTGAGTTGAAATCGACTCAATGGTAACAGATTTTATTTGATTTTGTGATTGTTAGGGCTACACTAAGAGAAATATTGTATATGAAGTTGGATTAACTCTGGAATAGAATGTAAATATTGAGTAGTAATTATCACTTTTGAAACATTTTATGCAAGTAAAAGGTATGTAAATCCTTTATTATTACCTATTTGTTTCATGCTCTGGGAAGAACTGTAAGGGTCTTGTTGTTAAGCGTCATCAAGTCTGTTCCAACTCATAGTGCCCCTGTATAGGGTTCCCGATGAGTGCCTGATAAGCTTGAACCACTGACCTCGTGGTTCAAAATGACCTTGTAGTCCAGCGCATTCACCTACAGTGTCACACTAGGACTAGGGTCTAGTGCTATTATATTTTTTCAATTATACTCTTCCAACAAAAGGTATAGCCCAACTCCATTGCATATCCTTAATTCCATTTTACCTCATTATCCGTGAACTTCTAATCCCTTTTGCCTCAGAATAGATATTCATTAGTTTTGCTGGTAATCTTATAAAATGCGTCAAGGGAATTTGCGGGGACAGGGGAAATAAAGCAAAAGCAACGCTTTAATTTTGTGAGTATGAAGAGTTCTGTTTGTTCCTTTGTACATGGCTGACTTTTGTTACTGATGTTTCAGATTTACTACTGGAAGGCACAGAGTTTATCTAAAAGAAGCAAACGTCACATTGAAAAAAAGATCCTCACTTTTCAAGGCAGCAAGACTCGTGGCATGCTGCCTGGACTGGAGCCCTTTAGCCACTACATACTGAATGTCCGAGTGGTCAACGGGAAAGGGGAGGGTCCAGCCAGCCCTGACAGAGTCTTTAATACTCCAGAAGGAGGTATGAGATGGATATAAACCTGAGAGCTCAGGAACACACGACAGACATGCTAGAAACCAAATGTGATTTTCCCATCGGTGAACACAGCACACACAAAGATGGCAAAACATCAGCTCATATGGGGCCTAAGGAATGTATAGAAGGCTGCCAAACACAAAATGCGATTTAAAATTCTGCCTCCCTTGATTTAAAATTTTCTCCACATTTAGTCATGTTGCTTGAAACCCAGCTAATAAGGTGCTGACTTGAGTCATTAATTTTCTGACCTGTAGCAAGTTATATAATCTTTCTTCACCTCAGTTTTCACATCTGAAATGTGTGAAATCTGGTAACATAGGAAAAGCACCTGGCAAAGGAAACATTCCTACATGTAGCACTTCACTTCTACGACTCCTTTCTCAGGGACTTTCATATTGATTCTGAAGTTGAGTTCAGTTAGAAGAGAGGATCTACTAGACAAAGTTGTAGTGGGTGGAGGAGGATTGGGAGCCTGAGTAGGTGAGGGAGAAGGATGTCACAAAGAACCATTCATTGTTGTTGTTGTTGTTAGGTGCCATCGAGTCCATTCTGACTCATAGTGACCCTATGTGACACAGTAGAACTGCCTACAGGCTTTCCAGGCTGTAATCTTTACAGAAGCAGATTGCCACAGCTTTTTCCTATAGAGCCATTGAGTGGGTTTGAATCACCAACCGACCTTTAGGATAGCAGCCACTGGGGATCCTAGTAAGAAAGATAGGGATTTAAAAAGATGCCAAGGTGGGCTTTACCTATTTTGAATTTTGCATCAACCTAGCTATAAAAATGAGACAGATAGCTTCTGTGGATGCCCGGGATCTCTTTGATCTATGAGGTTTACAAACACACCCTGTTCTGGCTCCTTATGGTTGAAGTACTTATCATGCTGACTACTTCCCAACAATCTTTGAGAATTATCCTGTGTCCTGACTCTCATCCCATGATAGCATCTTGTCCTTGTCCCTGACTCCTTAGAGAATCAGGGCTCTGTCTACTTGAGACTTCCACTAGTATGACCCCACACTTTTCTTTTAAGTAGTTCAGGGGAAGATGTCTCAGGGTTTAAAAGGATAAAGAAGAGAGGAAGTAAGTAGTATGCCTGAAGACAGGAAGGAATAAAACAGTCTGACTCCTTCAAAGAACTGCAGTTCATGTGGCTGGAAATGGTGAGAAAGGAGAGGAAGGTCAACTAGAGAGCCCCATAGCATGACTGAATGCTGTGGATGTTAACCTACAGGCCTGAGGTTTCCAATATGGGCATTTAACAACAGTCTCTTTCCAGGCTGTGAGGGAGAAGGCAATAAATGGGCTTCAGAAGCTACCCAAACCCCCTAAAATTGTGTGCAGACTGTGTATATTTTTCTGAGGAGAGTGTGGCTGTTATCACAGATTCTTAAAGGGGTCTGTTATCTTCAAAAGTTAAGAACTACTGATTGGGTTGGAAAAGCTAAGAAAGGTTAAGTCAACAAGATGTTTTTGAGTGCCTACGGTGTATCTGGTATTCTTCTAGGCTCAGGGAAAGCTTGTTGAGACTTGAAGTGGGGCAGTGGCAGAGACAATGGGGAGATGATAGGATAGCTATGGGTAAGATGGTTGGTTTTGTGGTGCCAGTGAGTCAATTCAACTCATCAAGACCCCATGTAGCAGCGCAGAACTGCCCCCATAGAGAGTTTTTGACTAGAATCTTTAGGTAAGCAGATAACCAGGTCTTTCTTCCAAGGAGTCCCTGGGTGGATTTGAACTGGTAACCTTTAGTTAGAGCTGAGTGACAGGATTTAGTGTCCAGGAGATGGTGGAAACGAGACAAGGGAGAAGTTCAGATTGATTCCCTTGTTTCTGGTCAGAGTGAATGGTGCTATTAATGGGTGTAGGGAACATGGCAGGCTGGGTGGGTAGGAGAGGCACCTTCATGAAGAAGGACTGCCACCATCTGACATCCTCCTAAAGAAGTAAATAAAAGAAGACTGGGCATGCTTCCTGTGGGAATGTATCAGGCCCCTCAGACCTCCAGACCAGGAATGTGCCCGTTGGGCGCTTTTGTTCATCACCACTGGCTCCTGGGCAGCTGTCAGCTCATACAGGAAGAGGAATGATGCACCTGAGCAGACTGGCCCGTGCCCAAGACTCAGCAGGCTGTGTGTCCTTGATGACTCAGACCATAGCTGCTGATGCTGTTGCTGATGCTGTTGCTCAGAAGTTTGGTTCAATAGTTTCACTTAGTGACTAGTTTGTTTTCATTGACACCATTCGTGAAACAATGAAATACTGTACAAATATTGGGTGTGGATTCATATGAAAGCACAGTCTTTATACGTTGGGAGAAGACAATTTGAATGAATCTAAATGAGCTCTGGTAGTGTAGTGGTTACAAATTGGGCTGTGAACCTTAAGGTCAGTTCAAAACTACCAGTTTGTTCCACGGGAGAAAAAAATGAGGCTTTCTGCTCCCTTAAAAATTTACAGCCACAGAAACCCTATACAGGGTCACTATGAGTCAGAACCGACTCCACGGCACATAATAACAACAACAACAAATGAAAAGTAGAGAAAGAGAAGAACTGAATGGGTCCATGTCACAGATTTGTAATTTCAGCTGAGTCTGAAAGAAGAAGAAACTGTGGAGAGCTAAGAGCCCTGAATAGTGAGCCTATGGTGAAATGTGTTGTTGTAATGCATTAGGAAGCCTTCAGAAACCATTATGTTGACTGTGTGTTCTCATTTCCAGTGCCCGGTGCGCCATCCTTTTTGAAAATTGTTAATCCCACACTAGACTCTCTCACTTTGGAATGGGATCCACCAAGCCACCCAAATGGCATTTTGACTGAGTACACCTTGAAATATCAGCCAAGTAAGTTAATTGGGAGAAAAGGAAAGGAAATATGGTTTAAGAGAAAAAAACGTATCTTACAAACTGACGGTTTTTAATTTAGGTTTTTTTGGTGTTTTTTTCTGAGGGGGTGTCTGTCGGATATATGCATGTACAAGAGAGCTTCAAAAAGTATATGGAGAAATTCTATTATTTTTCAATTCCATTTTCCACAAAATTTTTAATGTTATTCTAGAAGGGATTTCAAATTTTATTTTTGAAAGAAAAATAATGGTTACTATATTGAAAACTAAGTAGTCTACATAATAAAATAACCTAGAATAATACAGCTCTTTGAGGGTAGAGTTTAGAGACAAGTGATCTTAGATTAAAACGTATCTGTAACTAGAAAATGCTAACAAGACCTCTGAAAACAAGTTAGGAGCTATTTAACAAAATACAACTCCACTTGCAAAAGATACAGAGATAAATGCCATTATGATTCAACTGTAAATTTCTCCTACCTTGTAATAAAGCTTTTCCTTAGTTATATCATATTATGTTATTGTTGTTGTTAAATGCCCTGGAGTCAGTTCCGACTCATAGCAAACCCTGTATGGGGTTTCTGAGGAGCAACTGGTGAGCTTGAACTGTCAACCTTGTGGTTCAAACCGACCTTGTAGTCCAGTACATTAACTCGTAGCATCACACCAGGACTCCATAGAGTATAACAGGAATTGTAAAATATTATCAGTGATGTCAGACAAAGTGTGAGTTGTTCTTGTTAAGTACTGTTGAGTCGATTCTAACCCATAGTAATCCTGTACAGGATTTCAGAGGAGAAGCTGGTGGGTTTAAACCACTGACCTTGTGATTTGCAGTCCAGTGCTTATCCTACAGCACCAAATTGTTGTTGTTATGTGCCGTGGAGTCGGCTCAGGGTTTCCGAGGCTGTAACTCTTTACAGGAGCAGAAAGCCTCTTCTTTCTCCCGTGGAACAGCTGGTAGTTTTGAACTGCTGACCTTAAGGTTCGCAACCCGATTCATAACCACTACGCTACCAGAGCTCTTGACAGCACTACTTAGGATTCTATAATTCAGTTTAAATCTTAGTTTGACATTTTTAGTAGGCACATGTATGAAGGGGTTCCAAAAAGTTCTTGAAAGAATTTCAGTATCTTTTAATGCCATTTGTCTATGAACTTTTTGAAGCCCCCTTGAATTTATAACAGTATTTCTGTAACAATTAATTGTTAATTCACTTGTTTGTTATATCTCACTGACAGTTAACAGCACACATGAATTAGGCCCGCTGGTAGATTTAAAAATTCCTGCCAACAAGACACGCTGGACTTTAAAAAATTTAAATTTCAGCACTCGATATAAATTTTATTTCTATGCACAAACATCAGCAGGATCTGGAAGTCAGATAACAGAGGAAGCAGTAACAACTGTGGATGAAGGTAAGATGGGTATGTATAAAATCCATGTAATTATTAATGCCATGAAACAAACAAGCCAGCTTACATTTATGCTTTCTCTTTACTTCTTAACATGGAATTGTGCCTCTTAACAAATACAAATATCATAAGTTCTCGTTCTGATATATCATGAAATCAATTATTTAATTTGTATTTGGAATAGCAATTTGATACTTGTTTCACAAGTCCAAGTAAAACTCATATTGAGGTAGGAAATTACATTTTGATACACTTGAATTCAAAGCTTAAGGCAATGCATTTTTAAATTTAGGATTGAATAATATATATATCCATATATGTAAAAATACATATCATGCACATATATGAGAGTGTTTCAAAACCTCATGAAAAATGGAATTAAAAGATAATGGAATTTTTTTTTTCATGAACTTTTTGGAGCCCCCTCCTATATACAC